TGGGGGGGAGAAGCGGTGGGGGGGAGATGTTCATGTTGCTGCGGTCTGCAGTCTGGACGCTAGATATCGCTGAAAATTACACACTGCAGCTTTAAATATAAGACAATAAGATTTAATAATAATGCTTAATATCAAGCTCACATCAAGATATTACTCATCCAATCCAATCAAAAAAAAAAAAATGATAAAGTATGATATGTTGGACTATATAAACCTGCAGATATTTATTTTCCTGGCAAGTATTCCATATATCAGAAGAAAAACACAATATGATTTAAGATGATTGTGTCATTTTCAAATCAAAAACAGTTGTTTAGTATTAAAAAGCTTGAATCCAGAACTAAATGTCAAACAAATCACCAGTTTCACCTCTGAGACGATGACAGAGCAGGTGCGTTTATACGGAGACCTGATTCCACACAACTGGATTCTATTGATCATCATCAATCATTAAGGTCAACATTGGATCATTCAGAGATCCTCACTGAACTTCTGGGGAGAGTTTGCTGAGCTGAAAGTAAAGGAGATGATTCATTTTACACGCACCACTCTTCAGATTTTTTCTTTGTTAAAAAATGTTTAAATATCCAATAGATTAATGGTTGATGAGGCATCTTGAAGCATTTGGACACATTGCCAAACTGTATTGATGCTGCGTTAATACTGTCTCACAGAATACTGACACCTGCTGGACCTTTACAGACACTACAGGCAGCTTATTGGACAGATTAAACTGATTTGATGTATTATTTCACATATATGTTTACATTGAAAATATCTTTGATATTTTTAGAAGCAGTCAATAAATGATGTCAACATATAACGTCAAATTTTAGGGGAAAAATGTGAATGAGGATGCTGGTGGACTAGGATTTTAAATCATCATTTTAAAACAATGACTACAGTAAAAACAGTAAATAAACTAAGAGACAATTTGTAACTACCTAATTCATATAAGTTGAGTGATAGCTGAGAGGAAAAACACAAAGAGAAAATTAAAATAAGAAATTCAATGGCAATTTTAATGATAAACCAATACAGTGTTTTGCTCTATGGCAGGGGTGTCCAACTGGTTCCAGAAAGGGCCATGTGGCTGCATGTGTGGCTGGATGTGTGGCTGCATGTGGTGCTGCACGGTCCTTTCTTGAACCAATCATCTCCAGTCATCTTATCCAGTGAGTCCAATCTGAACATGAGGACTTGATGATGTAACTGGAGTCTGGTTGGAAAGAAAACCTGCTAACACACGGTGCTTTCTGGAACCACTTTGACACCGCTGCTCTAAGAGCTCCATGCATACACTGATGCATCGATGTTGCTTCATCCATCACTAGTTTGGTTCTACATCATGATTGTTTCCAACTTGTTGATTCTTCACAAAAAAGTGAAATTATATATCTTTATGTTTGATGCCTGAAATGTGGCAGAAGGTTATAAATTTCTACAGGGCGAAATAATTATGCAAATATTTAAATATATTATATATAAATATCTTAAAATAAATAATAAAAGACTAGGATCCATTGTTGTACAAAGTAAATCAGTACAGCGAAGCAAAGTTTTAAACTGACTGGTTTTACATGGTTCTGAGGGACAAATTGATGAAGGAGAGATGCTTTTATTTTAAAATGTTGTTAAAAGACCATAATCGTACAAATTTCTTTGGGTTTCATCTATAATTTCTAATTTAAAAATGCTTTATGGACCCTAAAAAGGAAATGAAATGTTGTTGCATCTCTAAAGGTTTTTTTTTTTTTTCCTGCGAGTTGATGTAGATGTAAATAGCTGCAGGCAGGAAGGATCTCCTGTCACGGTCTGTGGATTTGGAAAGGCCTTTGGAAAGGCCTATGACTTAAAACAAAGCTGTTAAAATTAGAGCTGCGCCGATGCCATTTTTTGGCCCCGATAACCTGGCTGTACAGTATTGGCCGATACCATCTGTTTGAAATTGATGTTTGGGTGTGTATATATGAAGAACTGCATACTAATTGGATGTAAAATAATTGCCATCATGGCTTTGTCAAGCTGCTGCCT